ATTTCTAAAATATTAATTCAATTTAATTGAATGTATTAGGTTGAGTAAAAAGTCATCGCGTATTTTTTAGCTCAAAGTTGTATATACAATATCTTCGTCAATAATGAATGAAATTCAAATTTAAGAAAAGGGTTTTAAAGCTTGAAATCTCTACTTTTAAAAGCTTATCACATTTTTTAAGTTTATATGAGTTTGATAATTTTTACATACCAAAAACTACGAGCTGAAAAAGACGAAAAATTTTCTTCTCACTTTGTGGATTTGTAACGTGTCCAAAACGAATTTGAGAAAATTTTCGATTACCTATCGTGAAAGCTTGATACTTTCCCTACAAAATCGTTTTTTTTAAATATTCCTACGACTTTTGATTAGTGAGTTATCGCGGATTAAATAAAAGAATTATTTTGACTTTAATTGCTCATAACTCCATTAAAAATTGTCGTATCGTATAATTTAAAAAAGAGATTTTTAAAGCTGAAACTTTACTCTATTAAGATATACTTATATTGTTGGTAAGAAAGTAATTGCGGTTTTTACTGATAGATGTCTTTTAAAAAAACGCGATGACTTTTTACTTAACCTAATATATTAGATAGTAGTTCAACATCTTAACACTCGGACCGGGAAGGCGCTTTGTATTTAAAGTTTTAATATTAAAATTTATAAATAATTTATTGCAAAAAAATCTTACCTCATACATGTTGTGTTGAACTTTGAAAAAAAATATTACAGAAAGTCAAGACTTGAATATAAAGCGTATATAGCGTATATAAGACTTTATATTATACTTTATATATTATAGGTATCAAAAAACACCACTCTGTTAAATTTATAAAGTCAAACTAAGTTTAAGTCGTTACTGCTCCGTATATATATATACGTTAAAGAGGGAGAGAGTGACAAATTGCATGACATAAACGCCCACGTCCAACGAGGATGGAGATCACGTGATTAGTTTTCTCCAATCTCTTTCATGCCTATGGAGCTTTTGATGTTCATGTCCAATCAGGGGAGATAGATCACTGTTGATGCACAATTCTGCATTCTCCCTCCATACATTTTAAACACTACAATTATCAATAGCGACAATAGACTGCATGTAGACTCTATTTCACATATTCCATTTACATACAAAAAAAAAGAAGACATCAATCTTCGATGTAAATTTTCTGAGTATTTCCTTTATTTTAACACAGCGCATTACAAAAGAAAGGAAAATCTTTTCTTTTCAGGAATATTTATCTTCAGTTACATTTGTTAGGGTTCTTTTGTTCGATTTTTAAGAATTTTAAAAGAATATCTTGTCGAGACATTTCAGAAAAATAAAGCTGTTATTGTTAAAACATTAAGACTAGTAAAAAAAGATGACTTAAGCCTATTCTACAATGTGCTCTTTGTTTCCGGTAAAAAAAAACATTATAGCGATCTAGCTCTATATCTTTATCGATATATTGATACAGAACTAGCAAAACCATAGATTATACCTATAAAATAGATTCATAATTTTTACTGGCAGTTGTTAATAATTGTAAGCTACATAAATTTGTTCATAAATTATTTTATTTAATTATCATATTTTTATCATTGTTTTGGATTTTTTGACAGCTCTATATTATTTTGTAATAATATTATTATATTATTACAAAATATTATATTATTTTGTAATAATACACTGCATGTAAATTTGCAATATTGTTACGCATGGCATTTCTATATTGTCAATGACATTATTTAAATCAGCGTCTAATAGAAAAGTGAATGGATTTATATTTTGAAGTTAATAACAAAACTCAATCTCGGGCGAAGTAAGAGTCAAACATATTTCTTAAATTTTCATAAAAATATATATTATATTAATAGCGATGAAGAATTGTTACATCACGTAAAAAATTGGACTATAAACTAGTAAATGAGTACGCTGTTACAAGTTTCGGCTTCCGGTTTGAGTCCTCTTCAGACATTAATATAACGAACAAGTAATCAAATCAATCGTCGCAAATGATCGCATGTTCCGAATGTTATCGATTCGGGTGAGTCTTGGTCTCCACCATAATTCCCGCATGATTGAATGGTCGTGAAGTATTACAATTATTTCGATGAAATTCGTACTCATTTACTAGTTTATAGTCCAATTTTTTACGTGATGTAACAATTCTTCATCGCTATTAATATAATATATATTTTTATGAAAATTTAAGAAATATGTTTGACTCTTACTTCGCCCGAGATTGAGTTTTGTTATTATGTTTTGAAAGAGTCCTTTATTTTGTTTATTTATTTTAATTTCGAAGTTAATAAAAATAAATTTTTTATTGTGTGTTAATTATTATACATGAATTGTATGATTTATTTTTTGGAAAAAGATACTTTATAAACTTTTCTTGATAATAAAATTCTCACATTTGCAATGTAGCTTATACTGTTATGAAATGGTGTAATCAATTTTTTTTTAATGTCATATATATTTACAATATATCTTATTTGACATAATATATATCAAAAACATAATTATGAAGGTTATTAAAAATTAGTGCAACGAATAAAAACAAAAATTTACAGCAGCGTTTCCAATGCTTCTCTTGAACATTTCTTTTATATGGCTTAATATAATTCAATCATATCATTTCAAGGTAAATCCAAATTTAATCGAGAATTTATGAAATTAGATGACACTTACCTGTACCCATAGCGCTGAAGGAGTTCACCAATTGCTTTGAAAATAAAAATTGGAAGGTCTTAACATATGCAAGGGTCGGGAGAGATTCATGCACGATCGCAGCTGTGCTGATGGTGGATCTGGCATGCCCTTACCTCTCCGCCCTACACAGATTTTAAGGGAGATTTCCTCGTGAAGAAAGAAGCAGGGGATCGAAGGTTGAGAAAATTGTGCGTTTATTAATGAAGACGACATTCGAGCAATCTCACCACTTAATTTCGACGATGTCGACGCGAGGCCTCCAGAAATCGCGTTGAGGTCCTAAATGAACAGCCCTGCTGAGGATAGAAGAGGAGAGAGCGAAAAGTGCGAGTGTCTTCGACGAAGACATTTAACTACTATATCACAAAATTTCTATATCACAATACTTGTTGCGACTTGCTTGCGAAAATTGCAGCAAAAAAGAAAAAAAAAACAAGGATTCATAGTAATTACGATAGTCGCATAATAGCATAGCAGTAATAATGATAATTACTCTATAACAATATAATATAATAACGATGACAATAATAATAAGATAATATTGCATTCACAAGTCTTAAAAGGATATTTACGCTTATTTATATCATTGTCGCTCTATCCTCCTCTCTCTCAATTTACTCGCGCATTCTCACTGCTTATGATCTTCACTGTATCACGTTCGTCTTCTGCATCGATGTCATGCGAACAGTCGATGCTAGAATTAAAATCGGCTTGAGATCTCCATTAGTAGCGTCATCTTTTCGGTCGTGGTGGACGGGCTGTCCTCGCGTCCAACAAAGAATCGAAGATTAAAAAGATTCACACATCATCCTCACATTCTCTCTCACGGTTATTCTCGCACGCTTGCATTCGGCACCTATGTAGAACATAGCCCATATTTTTCTGTATATTTATATATATATTTTTCTCTCTTTATATTTATATATATATATATATATATTTATATATTTATATTTATAATTAATTTTCTTCGTTCATTATACCTATCTATATATTATCTACAGGGCAGTAGCCAAACGCTGACTGACTGTGTTGTCGCTTGTGTTATCCGCTCGCGACGATACCGACAATTTCGATTTGACTAGAGAGACGCGCGTTCATCATATCGTCTCACGCCTCCCGATCACGATGATCCTCGGGAGAGCACATGCATCCTTTGTTACGTGTAATGTATAATGGTTGACATGTCTACCTGTCGCGACGTAATACCAATCTATGTCGCAAATGGAGATCGCGCGGGCGCGCCGCGATGCGCTCGAAATTCTATCGCTCTCTTGGTCGTTTTATAGCGCGAATATTACGTTATGTCGTCCATCGATACGTTTCAATGAATTCCTGAGAGTTATATTGTTTGCGAGGAGGAAAGAAACGAAAGAATAAATATATAATATGAATCTCTTGAGCTTGCGACACGCTGTCGCCGTCTCGGCCAAGTGTCGTTCTGTTTCCCGATCGGTCCCACAATGTGAGATGAGATGCTAGCAGCGGCGGCCGAGGTGGCGATAAGTTTACATTTGACATTCATTACGCATGACTTGTGCCTGACATAAGTAGGTACGAACGCTGGAGGAGTTTTCTTCGGGACATTACTTTGTATTAAGCTGGCTATTAATCTTTACGTGTAACATTAGTCGCGCGTTTCTGACACTCGCCCATATTTCTTCATAATTTCATTCTGAGTCTCTCCAGCATGTACATTACTTACCATTGTCAAACACGGTGCTGTGCACATAACTGCATATACCGCAGCAGATCTCAGATGTAAACATACTACAGGGAACATTCGTGCGACACTTCTGGACTTGTATTCTGTACATGGCTATCGACAGTTGTCGACAGTATCGTTAATTAACGACTAATCAGAGTCACGTTTATTTCCTTTTCGCCATTGGCTGTCGCTAAATTAACGATACCGTCATAACTGTCGGTAGTCATGTACAGAATACAGTACCCTGATTCCGTAACTCTTGACAACAGTCATCGCTATGTTGTCATTGAGCAGGTTTTTTTTTTCATATCTGCACAATAACAATATAACGATACCGGCACTGTTAAGAGTTGCAGAATCGGGGTGCGGACACTGGAAGCGGAACATAAATCTGAGGGCGAAGTGAATCGTTCGAGTCGGAGCGCATCGCGGCCGAGAAGAAATTCTTATTATAGCAAGCGGGCGCCGCGGCGTGAATGATGCTGGCTTTTCAATCGTGCTTACAAATGACACTCGAGTGTCTCTTTATTTTATTTTTATTTTATTTTAAATCCTATTCCATACTTATACTTATGAATTAATGTTAAAAGATGCGTCCGCACCGCGACGCCTCGTCTCGCCTCGCTTTTCGTCGAGCCGCTTCCGTGAAATTTCTCTTTCTCTCTCTCTCTTTCTCTCTCTCTCTCTCTCTCCCCCCCTCCCGCATTTTTCCTCTTTCATTGCTTTCATTAACGATGACAGTTCAATTTCGATGCGACAGCCTCGACTTTTCGCGCGAGTTCGAAGGATACACTTGGTATTTTTTTTCCTCGTGTTTAGGCCTTTTTCTTCCACGTTCGCGCGTTTCCGCGTGACGATGACTAGATTCTACACGAGCGTACGCGCTTTGCGTGGGTATGTGTAAGCGTGTCTTTGTACATGTATATATCTGTACGTGCGCATGTATGTAATCGTGTGTGCATATGCATGTGATGTATGTCGATTGAGTGTTATTCTTCTCTTTGGTGAGCGTCAGATTAGTTGGCTTCAGCGCACGTTCGATCTTTGGTGTATTCTCGCTGGCAGTAGCTCAATATCCGCCATGGGGATGACGTACCAGAAGTGGCGAAAACCTCTGTCCATCGGGTTAACCCGTAAAAGTGTGATGAAAGCGAACGAATCAAGATATCCTTAACGATGTTTCTTAATAAAGATACTCTCTTTTTCTCTCCCTTTCCCTTTCTCGATACTCTCCTCATTTTCCTGGATATAAGTACGATTTCGCGACTTCGTCCTTCCTCGAGGAGGAAAACTC